AAGCACCAGCAGATGACTGGAGGAGGAGCTTAGTGGAGCAGGAGGAGCCTGGAGCAGCTGCAGGTGAAACACTGGGACGGAGAGAGGGAGAGTCAGAGAGTGTAAAGTCGGTCTGGGAGCCACAACAGCTCCCTGTATCCAGCCTTTCCTCAACACAACAAACCAGCTACAACAACAATTTGGAGGAAGAGGACGGCGACTCATACAGATTTACTGGGGTGTTCACAGCCACACTTGTGGAGGCTGTCTCTGACCCTGTAGCTACTACTCCTTCCACTCCTCCTGCCTCCCCTGACGAAGACTCCACCAGCCAGTTTGACATGGATATTCTGGTGGATACTTTAAAGAGCATGGGGCCTTCTCTGAGGCAGAAGAGCGTGAGCATACGCACCACTAATACAGGCCTCGCCTCCTCTCTGCCACCCATTGTGGAGGATGCTCCAAGCCCAGTCTCTTCTGACGTGCCTGACTCCGTGAGCGGTATCCAAACAAAGATGGAAGGAACAGGCGCTCCAGCCGAGTCCCTCAATGGACTGTATACTCTGCCTGCTGACCTGGGATTGAAGAGGACTTCCCCAAGAGACAGTCGTTCTCCATTGGAACTAATTAGGCAGAATCAGGTATCGTAGACTTAAAATTAATTTCATGAGCTAGAAAATCTTCATGCAGTTTCATTATTTACCTTTATTTATATTGTTTTTATGACTATGTTTTTGCTTATTGTAGAAGTCATGAAAATTAAAATGTTCTTTAAAGCTATAAGCAATTTATAATACACTCCTTATGTGTTTGTTCAGGAATTGTAGTTGCATATTTTTGAATGCAACTCATCAAATATGTCAGCACCAAAAATGAAATTGCTTTCATTGCATTGTTTTGAAGGCATAGATCTCATAGGTGAATGCTTCAGAGCTTAGCATAACTATGCATGTGTCATGTCACCTGCAGGATGGACAGCCTGGAACAAGAGGTCTCAACTTTCCCTTTAGAGCATCAACTCTTAACAGTACTGTAATGAGAAAATCCTCTGACTCGTCTGAGGATTTAAAATCTCCAGTGCTTAATGGCAATGAAGTACCTCCATCTCCTACCACAAGCTCTCGCCTGGATCACAGTGTCCTCTTTGGTAACTACAAGCCGTCATCCACAGTTCAGACACAAGAAAACGGAAAAGCCCATCGGTCAGTGTTCCGCGCCAGCTCCCTACCCGAAATTTCATCTTTAAAAGATCACACGACTGCGGGATTAAAGGGGATGGGTGACCTTGGCGCTGGCACAGAGTCAGGTGGATCGCGCTTTGAGCGCCTCTCCTTTCTTATGAATTCCTCATCCTCCTCTCTGAGCGTAGCCGAAGACCTGAACACTCATGTGAGTCGGCCTGCATCTCTGGCCATCGGCTCCCCACCTGCCAGCAACAGCCCCACTCGCCTCCTCAGCCCAACTGGCTCGATTGACCTCCACAGGCCATTCGCCAACACAGACACTCCTTTATCAATGTTTAGCCAGACCCCTCAGATGGCGATGGGTGTGGG